AGAGGCTTTAGGAGTCACGGGGAGATGAACTGATGGCACGTGAGAGCTGGCAGAGGGGTTGCAGGGGCAACGCAGGCCCCCGAGGAGCAAAGTACATTTCATCTCCAGCGTATAAAAACTGCAAACACAAGAAAGACAAAAAGGAGGCAACGCTTGCAGAGAAAGCCACAGCGCAGCAGGAGGAGAGGGCGCCAAGGCACCAGCACCAACTGAAGCAGGGTTGAGCGTGTTTGTACTGTACCGTGCTTGGCCCTGGGCATGGGGAAGGGGGCTGCCCCCAGCCCAAGGCACATCTTGAGTACCCCAAAGAGGAAGGAAAAAGGACAGGGAGCACCAGAGCAAAAGGAGTCAACTGTCCTGACACATCTGCAGGCCTTGAGCCCAGAGGCCATGGTTCAGGCTGCAGCCTCCCTCCCCAGCGAGCTGGCATTGCCACCAGACACAGTTCCCAGCCCTGAGGGAGCAGGGCCATCCCAGAGCCTCATCCCTGCCTGCAGCCAGGCCAGCGGCACTCATGGCGCTGGGCAGAGGGGGAGGCAGACTCAGCCCCTTCATAGGGCAAATACAGGGGACCTCCACATTTCCCCAAAGCGTCAAAGAGAATGAGTTGTGCCCCTCCCTTGCCTTCTAACTCCGTCCAGGCCCTCAAAGATGCCACACTGCTGAGCAGCAGTACCACAGCAGGAGGGAGAAGCCCACAGCTGCCCCTGCCAGCCCCAGGTGTGGGACAGCCTCTACAAAAGGGACAGGCAGGAGCATGCCACAGGTGGGAGGGCAAAGAGCAGGATGGAGGGAGAAGAACTCTGCCCTTAAATCCCTCCTGAGTACCCACAGGCAGATGCAGGGCCTCGAGTCACGCAAGATTGTGTGCAGGCATGCACTGCCGCTCTGAGCTGAACGCAGAGGTACAGCCCCAGCCCCAGACTCACAGCCCAGGCAAGGCGAAGGAAGGTCCTGCCATGGGGCAGTGCCAGGCTTGGACCTGGCTCAACGCGTAGATGAGGGAGGTAAGAGGGAAGTGGCAACATCTCTCCACTCCCCAGAGGCACTGAAGCCCTGGAACATTCATGCATTGGCCAAAAGGCAACAACAGGATTTAAAACGCATATATAAGGCTGGTCCCTGCTCCCCTCTCAGGGCTGCGGGAAGGGCAGGGTGTCTTCCTCAAGGGGGAGGAAAGAAGCCATCTTCAGCACCACGTGTGCCCAGCGCCCTTGGAGCTCTGTGTCCTCCTGTCGGGCCACGCCACGCTCCAGCTCTCCCCCCCACAGGCGGCAGGCTCAGAGAAAGTCAAACACCCCGTAATTCTTTGCTGCTTGACAGAAGAAACACAAAAGGGTGAAAAGAAAGAAGAGATGTTTAGGGCAGAAGGACCGAGGCAGCAGCGATACACGGGCAAGCAGCACAGGGCGCTGGGACGGATGCGGATTAATGGGGTTAGAGAGGACGGCAGGAGGGAATTACCATCGGCAATACAAAGTCTGGTGGCGGGATGGGCTGGCAGCACCCAGCAGGCCTGCCAGGCCCGTCCACCCCGCTCGAGGAGGGATTAGAATCAGGGTTTAGTTCCATTTATTATTTTTTTTTCCCTTTTTTTCTTTTCATTATCAAGACCAAAAAAAAAAAACCAACCAAAAAAACAAAACCCAAAAAACAAGGGGTGAAGCCAGGGCTGGTCCTAGGAGACAAACGACAGGGATGGAGGGGGAAGGAGGGGCAGCAGACAGACAGGGGGCGGGCGCTTCACATTACATCCACAAAGAACTCACTGGGGTTGCCCATGGCCATTCGGAAGGACTGTCTACTGGCTGTCAGTTCGGGGGGCACAGAGGCCAGGTCACGGCCCGGCGGCGCCCCGGGGGGCCCCATGGCTGAAGGTGGTGGCGGCATCAGCAACATGGGGGGGCTGAAGAGAGGGGGTAGGCCGGGTGGCCCGTATGACTGCTGGCTGTGGTGGCTGCGGATACTGTGAGCCAGAGAGTGCTGGCTACGCTGGCTGTGCTGGCTGGCTGGCACCGAGCGCTCGCTGGCTGCGCGCTCACGCCGCATGCTGCTCCTCGTGGTGTGGTCCGACTCGCTCCCGCTGCCACCTGACTTGGACTCCCCGGTCTTCTCTCTCTCCTTCCTCCTCTCGCTGCCGCTGCGATTGGAACCACTGCTCCGGCTCCCTGCGAAGCGCATGAGGCAAGATTAGGTGACAGCTCAGACAAGCCAGGAATAAAGGATGCTCCTCTAGCCAAGGGAAGACTACAGCACGCTACAGCACAGCCATCCACCAGCACAGTCTGTGCTCTCAGTATTCTTTCAACTCCGAGTCCCGCAACCCTTCTGGGATGCACCTAACTGAAGGCTTTTGCCCTGGCTCCCCCCATGTGTAGGGCCTTGCCTAAGCAGCCTTTTCCTGCTGCTTCCCTGTACTGAACCATTTTCAGGCATATTTTAATCCTTTTCACTCACCTTCACTGTGCTGGCTGCCTGCACTGCCCCCTCCGTAGCTGTAGCCTGGGTCAGGGAAGCCGGGGTGGGGGTTGTATGGATGAGGTGGTGGATATTGATACGGGAAAGCCATAGGCCAGGGTGCAGCTCCTGGGTGGGGGAGTGGAGCCAAAGTGTCCTGATCGGAGGCGCCACTGGAGCCATCGTGATCATGAAGAGAAAGATTAGCCATGTCTGCAAGAAATCAAAGAAGAGGGGTTAATCCAAGCAGAAAGACAAACACGTGTGATGAAGCAGCTCCCTGTCCACCCTTCCTGATGGACAAGAATGGGGTACACAAGGAGATGCAAGAAGCTGGCACTCTCCCTGCTAGTCAATGAAACCATTTGTGCTTCCTGACTGGACAATAGCCAGGCTGCGCAAGTCCAAGCTGCCACTATAACACAGAGACCAGCTTGGTGGGAAAGGACCGCATCAGAGCTACAAGCTCACCCTGCCAGTTACTTCCCCCATTCCTCTTATTTGAGCAGAACCCAGTTGTCTGAGCACCACACCCTTACCAGCACTGGAAGTTCAGAGCCTGGAGACAAAGTCAGTAAAGACTAAGACTGTGCTATGGCTGCCCAGGAGAAAAGATCACATGGTAGGTGACTGTCATCTTCCAACTTTACCACCCCAGCACCATGGCAAGGGAGTTGGGATATTCCTCCTCACTCTCTAACATGGTCTTTAGAACAAGAGGCTGAGCCTGATGGCAATGGTGGTAGCTATGTTCCCTCAGTGTTAGCACGGCTCTGCAGGACCTCAACCCCCCTCCATCCTCTCCCCTCCCACCAACGCCAAGTGCCGTACTTCCACAGAGGTCCCCGAAGATGTAATAGCATTGCTCTGAGAAGGTGATCTTGTTCACGGTGTGTCGGATGTAGCCAGCCTTCAGCAGATTGCTGGCATATTTGCGGGATTCACGACGGTCTGTAAAGCCCTCCACATGGTGATAGAGCCAATCCACCACATCCGAACCTGCCACCAAACATCAGTGTTAAATACGGCAACAGAGGAAGGCAGGGGCCCTTGAGGCAGTGGGCCACACTGGAGCCAAGACAAAGTGGGCCAAAACGTGAAAAGGGACTGCACAGCCAAAGGTTCAATTTGTGACTCTGGCCTGGTCAACAGTCTACAGTGACAGAGATGCTCCCTTGGGCATCTGCTTGGAAAACGGGCCACCCATTCCCCATTCTCTGCCTCTGCTGCAGGCAGCACAGTCTCTTACCAATGAAGGCATTGGGGATGGTGATCTTCAGCCACATGCGGTCACGCACCTCCAGGCCTGACTCTGGTGAGGCCATGGCTTTGACAATGGTGGCCATGTCGCTGTGGATGGACAGGTGAAAGTCATCGAGGCCTGTGGTGTAAAGGAAGGGAAGGGAGGCAGAGATGAGAGGGGACAGAAAAGACAAGAGGGCTACATGGAAGCACCACACACAGGAGGAATGGGCCAGGGAACAATACATCGCAGATAGCCTTGGAGCGCATGCTGTGTAACCCCCCTTCCAGCCTTTTGATGTTATACTTCCCATGTCAGCCATTTCACTTTGTGTAAAACCCAGGCTACAGTCTCCTTCCTTCCCACCAGTCCCAAGCAGCTGAGATCCGAAATTTGCCAACTGAGCCCACACAGCCCAGCAAGGGAATTCTCTGCTCCTCACAAACTTATGGCAAACTTCCAGCTTTTTGCCTCGTCTCTCTAGATCCTTACTTCACGGCTCTGTATACTAGAATCACTTAAAACCTTCAGAAAGCAATCAAAAAAGCCCTGACCCTGCCCCACTGCAAGCTCTCTGCTCCCAGCTGCCTCCATCCTGCCCTATCTGCTGTCTGGGAGGGCAATTGCTCCAGGGACAAGCTGACTCCCTCTGGCCATGCACTCTCAGCCAGTAACCTCTGACTGCTCTGAGCCCTTCCTCTGCACCTGCCACAGCTCCTGGAATACACCCAGGCTCTTCTACTCTCCTTACACAGAAGGCTGAAAAAGGTGGTATTGATTCACCCAGCCAGAACTCCCTCTGATCCAAGCGCCTGCCTGGTGAGAGCTGCCTCCCTCTTAGAGCCCTGGCAGGGCAGACCTTCCCATCCCAGCTGTCCCCAAGCAGATGTATTGCTCCCTTTACAGCACAGTGAAGGTGAGGAAGCCGTGCAGCGGGTGGAGCACGGAGGCACAAGGACTTACGTTCAGTCTCTGGGATGGAGCTGGTGATGGAGGAGCTGGTGGAAGTGATTGTGCTCATGGATGGACTCATACCGTACGCTGGGTAGGTGCCAGTCATCGCTGCCGTGTGAGACACCCAGGCTGCCGGGTCGATGGGCCGGATGGGCTCACCTGCAGTGAAGAAAGAGTCAGTCAGCAGCTATAAGAAATTATCCCCTCGTCAAATCAACCTCTAGGGAGGGACAGGGACTCAGCACAGCCCATTCCATCCCCAGCATCTGCCGGGACTCACCCGGATCGGAGCATGGAGAGTCTGGCCCAGCCCAGATCCGCTGGGGAGCAACTGGGAGAGAAAGAAGAGAGGGAGGGTCAGCAGGAGAGGTGCAGAGGGAGAGATCCCCCTATGGCTCAAGGAGGGGTTTCTCTTTCCTCTGGCGCCCCGAGCAAGTGACCCCCCTGCCCCAGTGAAACGCGTCCCCAGCGTGATGTGGGAAGGAGGGCTGGGCTTAAGGGCATTTTGGCCTGGGAATAGGACATAGCAGCCTCCTAACAGGAGGGCTGAAACCCCATCAAACCCCAATTCAGTGCCACATGGAGTCACACACACGGAGGAGGAACAAGACAACAACCAAGTAAGTGCTTAAGGCAGGGCTCTCACATGAGCTGGGCACCAGCGTTAGGGGTGGGTCAGCTATCCACTTACTCCTGGGTAACGAGAAGCAGCCCCGCGGGCTGGGATCCCAGCACTTGGCCACCGTCAGGGTGATGGGCCTGCAACAAAAAGGTGAGAGTTAGAACAAGAGGCCAGTGGCACAAACCCCTGCATGATGGGCAGATGCTGTATGCTGGCTCTCTCCTGTGAGTCAGGGAGAAGCTGCCAGTAAAGTGCCCCTGTGCCCCTCCAGCTATGGATTTCCCTAGTGGCATGGACAAAACAATGTGACCCTGCTGAGGGTTGCCGATGATCCTAATGACACGGCATGCCCAGATAAAAGGGGCACAGCCCCCAGTTCACCACCATTCTGTTGGCTGCAATTCTTGCTTTGGGCATGAAAACCCAGGAATCAAAGCAACACCAAAACCTAAGTTCTGAGCTTCTGCAGAGCCACTGGCAGAGCCACCTGCAGAGGTGGCTGGAAGACACAACTCACACACCCCAAGCACACACTGTACAGCTGCCCACAGAGGTAAGAACAACCTGAGTACTTACCCCGGCTTGTGCACAATCTCCCTCAGCACCCGCACAGCATCATCATTGCTCATGTTCTCAAAGTTGATGTCATTTACCTGCAAACAACGCAAAGAGGTTGAGTCCCAGAGATGTGACCAGAGGCTGAGCTCCCCACTCAACTCAGCAGTGACTCAGCTTCCCTCTTCCAAGTATAGCTTCCTGGGTTTAGCCTGCCAAAGGGGGCAGGGAGGCTTCTGGGTCTTTTCTTACTGCTTTCCCAGGCCCAAAAATGGAGGTATGTGGGTGTGAAGTACCTGCAAGAGCATGTCTCCTGGCTCAATCCTGCCATCAGCAGCCACAGCGCCGCCCTTCATGATAGAGCCAATGTAAATGCCTCCATCGCCACGCTCATTGCTCTGTCCCACAATAGAAATGCCCAGGAAGTTGTATTTCTCTGCAGGGATGGAAAGAGAAAGAAGACACCATAAAGCAGCAGGCACAAGCACGTCCTAATGATGGTTGCTTGCACTCCTGTCCCAGAGAGACGTCCTGGGACGCAGAGAAACTCCTGAGACCAGTGCTTCAAGACAAGCCACCTTCCTTCAGAACTCATCTCCCCACTCCTCCCCACCGGTGTTCTCTTCACCTCCTCCCCAGTTCCCTCTCCACCATCCAGTCTCACTCTAGAAGGACTGCAGACTCCATGCACACCTCCCACTCACCCATGTTCAGCGTGACTGTGATGATGTTCAGGGACATGGTGGAGTCTGTGATGCTGCTGAAGGACGACGACTGCAACATAAGCGAAACATGAGATGTCCTCCTGTGCCTCAGCAACATCCCCAGTCCCAGCTCCCTCCCACTTGCTGTGGCACCACAGCCACCACCCACAACCCCAGCCTTATGCTGGGAGCTTTGCAGAGCCAGAGGGCACCAGCTACAGTCCTTATGACCTCTCCACAGCCAGGACAAGGTCTGTGGTCCCAGCTCTTGAGGCTACATTGGCTTGGGAAAGGTTTACAGCACATTATGAAGTCTCAGCCCTTGGACACCACCTGTCCCTCAGCTGTGCGCACAGCAAACACAGCTGAATCCCTGATCGGCCCTGGAGCACTGGGTGGAGACATCCACCAGTCAGCCCACTTTGCCTGGCATTGCCCTCCCCAGGATACCCAGCCCCTGGGTACCCGCTCAATGCGTGGAGCCTTCTGTTTCCGCCGGCGTCGCTTGTGTCTCCTCATTAGACGGGAAGCACTGCTTTGCTCTGTCGAACTGCTAAACCTAAAGGCAAAAGTGAGAGTCAGCTCTTCTGCTGCCAAGGTGGTGGCTCTGGCAGCAAGAAAGCCACAGAAATGGCACAGGGAATAGAGGAGTGCAGGGGCAGAGGGGCAGAACATGTACATGGGGGACAGACAGTAGCAGAGGGGGCAGCTGCGTGAGACTTGAGACAGAGGCAGGTCTAAGCAAGGACCCTGGAGCCCAGGATTACTGTGCCTCTGTGCTGGGAGGCAGAGGGAAGCTAGTGTTCCTCTAGGACCTAAGCTCTCCTACCTGCTGGTGGAATCATCTTCATCTGAGTCGAAGAAGCTGGTGGTCTCCAGCTCACTGCTCATGAGCGTGGAGGAGCTCTCGTACCCGCCCAGGTCTCGGCGCCGCTCTCCCTTCACTGTCCCATTCACCCTGGGTGCTATGAAAAGACAAGACTCAGCGTGCTTGAAACAGGCCACAGGGAAACAACTCCTTACCCTATGCAGGGCTCACGGCAACCTTCTCAGAATTAATCTGGCCATCAGACAATCCCATCTAGTGCCAGTCAGCTCTGAGTTCACCCTGGGATCAGATCCATCTTCTGTGGAATACCTTTTCCATCACTACAGGATGGGGAAGAGGCTGATGGGCCACTAGAAACAATGCTGCTAAACTCACGGAAGACTCACAGCTGGTTCCTTGGCAGAGCAAGGAGCTGCATGGAGTGGCAAGGCTGCAGCACACTCTGCTTTTCAACTAAGGACGACTGAGGAACTACTGTCTCCTGCTCATGAAGCTTCTCCAGGAGATGTCTCCTTTGCTGCCAAAGGTTTCAGCACCAAGCTCTGATGCAACACAGGCGGTAGCTCCTGCCTCCAATGTCAGACTATGGCCTCAGATCACTGAACAGCCCTTCTAAGCTGGGAAGGTTCTGCAGAGGTGTCCTTGAGCTGGTGTCCCCACTGTGCTCCAGCCATGCCCTGCAGAGCTCTTGCCATGTTATCAACACTCACCATGCTCAGGCCCATCTTTCCGACGAGGTCGCTCCCTCTGCGATGACACCACTGAGTCTGTCTCTGTCTCATTGTCCAGGTTTTCCCGACTCCCCCCAGTGTTCGGGCTGCAATGAGATAAAAGGAACAAACGTGTCCAAAGAGGAACAACTTAAGCAGGCTCTCTCTACCTGTGTGCTGGCCAGCACGAGCCTCCAGCCATCAGCTGTTTCTTTCTTGAGGGACAGGAACAGAGGCAGTGGGGAACAACCACAGCACATCTATAAGTGCAGGGCAAGGGACAGGGGGAAGCTGTGCCAGCTCTTTGCCAACTTCCCTGCATTATTTTCAGCATGCCCTTGCTTGTTGGAACAATAAAGCTCCCTTTTGAATCTGCTCCCAGCCCCATCCAGAATCCTCCCCTCTAGCTGGCTGTGATCCTTGCCAATTTGGATAGTAGAGTCCCAGCCCCTGGTCTGGATTTACAGCAAAGTCACTGTGGGTCCCTCGGAAACCAGGATAGGTGTCCAGGTAACTTACTGGAAAGAGGGGGGCCTGGAGTCTCCAATTCCTCCTGTGCGCTCCATGGAGGGTGGCAGTTCTGTTTGGTTATCGGCACAGACCGAGCCAGCATCTGAATGGGAACCCTCTGCAGACACCAGCTGGAGGAACGAGAGACAGAATGAAACGGCTGAGGCACTGTGAAAACATTTACAGCAGTGGCCAAACGAGCTGGCCAAAAGCCTGCCTGGCCCAGGATCCCATCTCTGACGGTGGACAACAGCAGATGCCCAGGACCAGGTATGGAACAGGCCAAGCATGTAGCAACACTCCCCTCAACACCTTCTCAGACGCTGGCTGTTCGTGGCTCAGGAATTCCTGACCCAGCGGTGAAATCAGGGTGGCTGACAGCCCTGCTTGGAGACTCTGACATCATCTGCACACCCACACTGCATAATTTTTACACTCAGGTAACCTTTAGCACATGTCCTGTAGCAGGGAGTGGATTCCCCTAGTTCTTCTTACATCAGAAGAGGCAGCTACTAGTAATTCCTCTTCTCAATTTTACCAGCCTCTATATCTCTACCTTCAAGCAACGGGACCCAGCAGGACTTTCACCTTCCCAGCCCATGCGAGCTGCGGGTAACAGAGCTCAGGGCAGAAGCTGGCTTTGAAATAGACTCCAACACACTCTTCTTCTGGCTTCCGCACATACTTAGCAAACTTTCAGGTTGTGCCCAGCTAACTGGCTTGGGTACAACCTCTGGGAGGCTCAACGGTTTCCCCAGTGCAGAAATTCAAGGAAGAGTCAAAACCTCAGGAACTCTTTATACCAGCCATGCTTTGGGGCAGCCCTGGCAGACCTACATCAATCACTGCCTCTGGCTCTAAGATAAACCACCAGCTTCAGGGCTCAGGGAATAAGGTGGAGCCCCTCCTGGGAGGAACAGGCTCACCAGTGGGATGAAACAGAGGTTTCAAATGAGCTCAATGGAAAGTGGTTGTCCCATCATCACTCCCTATCCAGGTCTGTGCTCTCCTCACTTTCAAGCCGCATTGAGCAGGGCTAATTCCAATAGGGCCAAGCAGGAAAGCAACAGAAAGCCTCTTCCTTGCAAGAGCCATTCAGGGACCCCCAAAACAGAGGTGACAGGGCCCAGAGAGGAGCCCTCCCCTGGTCAGGGAGTGAGTCCCCAGGGACAGGCGAGAGCTCTCCAGCAAGGGAATACCAATTTCCATCTCCAAGGACTTTCAAACGTGCTTTTCATGTCTGCCCCACACCTGTCCCCTGCACAGCATGGGCAAGCAGGGGGGTTGGCTCTCTCCCAGTGTCAGGGAGGGACCACAGGGCCCAGTGTCTTGATCTACTCCAGACAAAACAGGCTGTGGGTCATCCTGGAGCCGAATCTAGGGAGGTGAGGAGACCAGTACCTGAGGGGTCAGGCCTCAGCCTGTGTACCTGAACTAACTGCCCAGCCATCACAGGAGAGGTCTGATCTAACAGAGGAGCCTCACTGTGGGTCAGGACAGAAGGATCACGAAACATGGGCTGGAAAGGAACTGATAGCTGTTGCCCAAACCATAATGCCCAGCGTAAATGCAGAGACAGCTCTGCTACTTGCTGGTGTGGGGACCACATCTGCATGGAGGCAGGAGCAGATGCCAACCCAGGTGCTGGAGGCACAGCCCATTTACACAGGTCTTGAGTGCTTCCCACATCACTGATGAAATACAGAGCTATGCCCTGCCCACCTTCAAGAACTGGGGAAACCATGATAAATGTGGGGATGGATCCCACAGATCATCATTAGGGGAGAGAGGTCTGCTGTCAGGGAGGCACTGGGAACAGAGACAGGGATGCAGCTGAGGCAAGGAAGACAAAGCAGCCCTGAAAAAGCTGCAGTCAAGGCAGCAGACAAGGCAGAGAGCACCCTGGGGTGTCAAAAGCTGCAGAGCCCGTCCCACAAGCCCCAGGACAAGCCCAACAGCTCCTGCTCTCTTGCAACTGTCTAACCAGCTCTTGTCTCACACTCGGCTCAGCTTCCCTCTCTCCAGCAAGCCTCAGGAACATGCCCAGCTCTGCTCCCGGCACCTTCTCAGTGACTTGTCTTCCCAGGACACATCCCACTCCCTGAGGGCCACATCTCTGCTCTGGCAGCTACTGCCTGGGAGCACAGGGGAGAAGGGCTGCTGGAAATGGCCAGCATTGTCTAGGGAAAAGTCATATAGTGCTCTGTGCTTGAAGATCTCAAGGCAAGACCAGGCAAATAGATCTGGACAGAGGGAACTAGCCACAGGCAGCTGTCAAACAGCAGTGAGGAGGAGAGGGGGTGTTCCCAAGCAGGGGGACTGATGCTGCCTTCCTCTAACACTCCTGGGGCTGGGATTTCCTCCAGGGAAGGTTTTGATAACCATCCTGCATTTTTCCTGCCTCTTGCACTGTCAGGAAATATTCACTTGAATCCAAGCCCCCGTCTTTCCCTCTAGCTAAAATTAGTACCAAGTTCCTAAAACAGCCTCATCCTGGCCTGTCTGGCAGAAGCAGCAAAGCAAGTGCTCCTCTCCAGCCCCTAAACCACCCATGGAGAAGGAGACTCCCAGTAGAGACAGAAAAAGGGATCATCAGCTGTGCATAAAGGTCTCCAAGACTGCCGTCACCCTTCATGCACAAGAGCCAGTAGCGCTGCTAACTCCAGGCACAAGTTCCCCGCAAGGAGCCAGCACACCAGAGCAGCAGCAGGGCGCCCTGGTCACATTGGAGAGAGCCACAACGAATCTGTGCCACTCACACTGAGCAACCAGAGAGCCCCTATGAGGAAAGCCAGCAGCTGCGTGGATGCGTGGACCACAAGGAAAGGCACGCCAGGTAAAATAAAGCAGTGGAAAGGGCTCAGAGCCTCTGGGACTCCCCATAGAGCAGGTGAAAACAAAAGGCAGCTGGAAAGGAAGAGCTGGGGAGATGTCCCAAGGCAAATGCAGCAGCAGCAGGGATGGTGGCCGAGAGCCGGACAGGCTGTTTTCCGCAGGGCCCGGCTAACTGCTAGAGGAAGGACAGCAGGCGGCCGGCCCCAGCCCTTTGGGCAGCAGCCCAGCG